GGCTGTGTGGCTTGGTGCTGGTGGTGATTGGGGCAATATGGGTGGCGAAAGCGTTGTGTACTTCGGTGCGCTGCTGTCTCCGTCGATTGCATGTGCTGCCTAGCAGGCCCAACAGCCTCGAGGGTGAACTGGAGGCGGAGGAGAAAGTTTTCACTACTTCCTTGTGTTCGAAGCGGCAGAGAACGAGGAGCTCTACTACAAGAAGGGAGGAGGCTGAAGATGATCGGAGCAGCCGCAGCTCGGTGACAGAAGAAGCCGAGTGTCAATTCTCCAGTGAAAACGAGGAGGAATGGGAAGCGAACAGGGTCTGCGAAGACGAACGGGCCCGTGAAGAAGAAGAGACTATGAGACGGCGGAGGTCTGCGGCGCGCCCAATGAACTCAAGTTTTCTTGAAGAAGAAACTATGAGACGGCGGAGACCTACGGCACGTCCAGTGGGGAAGAAAGAAAGCTGCGAGAGCTCAAGTTCACTGAGTGTTTCAACTGAGCGAGCCCTTCAAGCAGCAGAGAAGGCGGCTGAAAACGCCGAGATGGCGGCACAAGCGGCCGGACAAGCGGCTGAAGGAGCCATGGTGGCAGGGCGAGCTGCTGAGCAGGCGGTTGCAGTATCCACGCGACTGCACCAGGTGATTTCGCGGCCTTCGCACTCCAAGACCTTTGTGGGTTCATCGTCAATATCCCACAGAGGAGGCCAGAAACGAGAGCCATCCCCTGCTAACCCATGGAACAAGTTCCAGCGAAACAATGCTGGGCGTGGTTGGTCTATGGAGACCATGCGAGCTGAATACTACAAGCTCAAGAGCCAGAGCCTAAAAGGCCGAAAGTAGAGAAATGCCTTGAGCCTACTTTTCCCGTTTAGATCTGTCTGAACGACAGATGGGGGAGTCTGTTGAGAGTGGTGAGAACACCATGACCCATGTCATACCACAGGCATTTGTTTCTCGAGTGAAAAAGGAGCGAGGGGATTCCTTTTGTCAAGCCTATAATATTAGCCTCCAGCTGTTTGGGAACGGCATGTAAACCAAAAGTGATTGAGTGCAATAGTTCCTGATTCCCGGGTCACATGTGCAAAAACGAGGGGATATATACATCATGAGAAATTCCAAGGATGATATCAAATTCAAAGCGCTGTATCATTGTTGCCTTCATAGCAACACCCAAACATACCCGAACAAAGCCGTGGAAAACGGAAAGCGGCGTGGCCAAGCAGGGGACAAGGTGGTGATAATAGGGCTGACAACGAGACAGACCGGGACAAGGCCTGGACAAGGCGAAGAAGGCAGGACAAGAGGAGGACACAGGGTTCGTCAGCACGGCCACAGTCAATATGCAGGTTGTTGCCTCTGACCATACGTCCAAGCTCCTGTTGCAAACCCACAAGATGGAGGCCTCAGCTGGGCAAATCCGGTCCTTGATCCAAGGTGGGATCTTGGAAGATTGGCGGTGACAAATGCTGCAGTGACCAAGGGCATGAAAGACTGCAAAAAGGCCTTGAAGTACAGAACAGCCTCTTCAGCCAAGTCAGAAGTGGTCAACAAATTTGCAGCCAAGGAAATGGCAAAAGCTGAGAGGAGACAAGCAGAATGGCAGAAAGGGTTTTGCCAAAACATGCCAAAGCACACTCTACTAACTTTGTGGTAGGTCCGCGCCCTTCGTGCAACCCCCTGGTATATTGCTACTGCAGCTGCTACTACTATTGCTGCTGCTACTACTCCTGTCCTACTACTACTACTCGCTACTACTGCTGCTACTACTACTACTGCTGCTGCTGCTTCTACTACTACCATACTACAACCACTAGCTGCTAATGCTTTCTCACTAGCCACTGCCACTCTGCTTCCTCCTACTGTCTGCTTCTGCCGCTTCGACAGTTCGACAGCAGCTGCTACCACGTGTATTTGCCTTCAAGTGCCAACACTTCTGTTTCCGTTGAATTAGACATGAAGCAGGGCAAAGCCCCTGGGGCCTGACGATCCATTCCGGCACCGTCTTCCCTCCCAATCCCTCAAGACCCTTCAGTCCTTCCGTGGTTCCTAATGGTTAAAAAAACTAAATGTATGTTCCGTCCCGGGGCGCCCACGATTTGTTCATTGCTGAGTGGCTGAGCGAAGATACGATGCTGCCCCTTAAAGTTTTGCAAGCTTCGCGCGACACCTTTAAGTTTGCATTGCATGGGGCCAGCTTTCAAAAGATGTTCCAGGCAGTTGTTATTTTTTTTACCACTGAAAACAAGCAACCCTTGTGACGAGAAAAATGTGTTGCCAAAAATGCCTTTCTCTTCCCTCTGCCCTGCAGATCCAACCAGCCACAAAACTTGGCTGGTCACCAGCCATTTTTTTTTAGCTGGCAGCCTTGATTTGTAGCTGCCAGCTAAGAAACAAGGCTGGTGCAAGCCAAAAAAAGTAGCTGGTAATTTGGAAAACGGGCTGGCAACCAAACTTTTTGGCTGGTGGTGTTTTGTAAGTTAACTATACTACCAGCTTTAAAAATGGTTGGTAGCCAGACAAAAAAATTTGCTGGTACCAGCCAATTTTTTTAGCTGGTAAACCAGCCTTAAAAAATTGTTGGTAAACCTTTGCATAGGACTGCAGCTTCTTTTTCCACAGCTCGCACAACTCCAAGGAAGGTCAGCATCTACAACCCTGCAACCAAGTCAATGAGGCCTTCCCAGGCCAGGTCTGTCAGACCACAGGTGGAAGTGCTGAGAATTTTGTGAGCTGTTGCCACCTTTCTAACATCCTTGCACAGTGGGTGCCTGGACCCTCACGCCCACCCCAATTTTGTACAGCAGCACCTTCGTCGGCATAACACCAAAACTCTTGAATGGGGTAGCCACACTCTGTCAAATGCAAGTATTGATGGAATTTAGGCATTATCTTCCATGTGTTGGTGTCCGGTTCTCTCCTTACTGCATCCCTTTCCAGGGCGATATACTGGCCAGCAACCTTTCGCCCATGCTCAGGCATTTCAGCCAAATCATTGGATTCCATAGCACCATAGGACCTAGCCAAATAAACAGCAAGTTTGTGGCAAGCCTGCTCATAGCGAGAGCGAGAAGTATTTTGCTGTGAGGATGGGAAGCAAAGGGGCTAGATGCCTGATATGGGCTGCAGGCCCTTTCAATGTGGCTTTCTTGTTCATGTTCTTTTTGCTCTTGTTCAATATCTCTGGTGTGAGGTTGACGGCAATACTCAATATGGTATTCCTTGTATAAGGCCTGGATCTCTTACCAAAGGTTTGCCACTTGTTCTGAGAAATTTGCACCCAATTGCTTCTTTGACAAGTCCACCAAAAGCTGACCAGCAATATCTGCACCAATGGTCAACTGCATGAAGCCAAGCTGGCAAAATCAACACATCAGGGGCCATTTCAGGCCAGCCCCACAAAGGGCAAACCTGCTTCCCCATAGCCCTCACCCTTGCCAAAAACCCTGCCTTTCCCAGGCCAGCGTTCCTGCATTCTGCCGATTGCCCCTTGAAATCACAATATTTGGCTTTGCAGAGCCAACGCATGCCAGAGCCTGTGTTCCATGTTGGCAAGTTGAAACAACTGTTTAGCCAATCCCACTCCCCCCTGACCTCACACAAGATGCCTTTTCCAGGGAAAGCCCGCTTGAGCTCAGACCTTTTTCTGTCAGATTTTGCTCATGGTGTTCCATCACGTCGGTTGCTAAAGCTCCACATGAGGACCTGGAGAATGGCTTCTTTGGTTCGATAGCCTGCATGGAACTTTGTGTTCAAAACTGTGAAGGGCACCCTAAGGTTTGAGAATTGCCTGGCAGATGGCAGGTTCAATGTCAGGAAGTCTGAAGATTGTTGTCTAATGGTTCCTTGAATGGGGACAGCGTCCCCATGCAAGCCCAAAGGGATGAGGCCTGCTTCAGGCCAGCCAAGGCAAGACAGAACCTTGTCAAGGGCAACTTTGATTTTACTTGTTGGCCTGGGCTTGCAGGCTTCCACTGCTTTGGGATGGTGCAAGAATTCTGCAACCCACTCATGGGGTAGTTGAAAGCAATGCCAAACTTTTATGAATTTGTGACTTCTGGTGCAGAGCATTGGTATTTTGGCCCAATAAGGATTGGGCCAGCATGTCTTGGGATATGCCCTCCTCAGTGTCCTTGCTGCATTTTGCTTCCCTGGTTTGGCCTTCAGTCGAACACCTTTGGCACCTGCCTTCTGGGCTTTCTCAATGTTTCTCTTGCAGAGTGTGCCTGGCATCTTGTTTGAAGCAGACAAAGAAAGTGAAAATGAAAACCCGTCCTCACTTTCAGAACTACCATGCTTTCTCTTGGAAGAAGACTTTGGGCCAGCCATGGCCTGTTCCAGGCCAGCCATGAATAGACAAAACCACAGCAAGACGTGTGGGAGTCTCTTCCCTGCTAAACTTTTTGAGCACCTGAGAACCCCTTGAGCCACACACACACTTCAAGCATGCCCAGCAATGAGTGGAAATAACAGCTACCAAGAATTGCTTACTCTGTTCACACACAAGCAACCCCAAGACAAAGCTGACACTTTTTTGGCATCCATGCGCATGCAGCTGTCCAAGCTTGTGAAAATGGTCAGATATATAGGCCTTCTCAGGCCAGCCTGTGCAGGCAAGCAATTCAAGACATTTTCTTGTGCGCACTAAGCTCCTTTCGCCACTTCTGCTACCAGTTCACCGACTTGGCCAGTCTTTTCCTCAGCCTCATCCTTCTCAACTTCCTTGGGAAAAGCCATTTGCTTTCCAGGAACTCTGCTTTCTTCTTTTCCATCTGCTCTTTCAAAGCCTTCAGCTGCTTCAAAGCAACTGGCTTCATTTCAGAGTCAGGTTGGCCTTCAATGGAAGTCACCAACACATCCAGGCTGTGACACTCACTGCCAATGCAAGTCACCTGTTGCTTGAGCTTCTTTGCTTGGTGCTTGTAAGCCACAACTTCTGGTTCTTTTGGCTTGGGCGTGTCAGGCTTCCCCCCTTTGCCACCTGAAGTGGCCATCTTCTGTGCAGGACCTGCTGCCATGGCAGTCCTCATGGCAGCAAAATCCTCTGAGGTGACATCTTTCACTTCCTCCTGCACCTCCAGTCGCCTCTTTTTGATGACCTGCTTGGATTTCTTGCTGGCACAGTACTTGTACTGTCTGGCCAAATTGGTGTCCTCATTGTCTCTTTCAGGCAGGCCTTTGACACAGGCCAAGCATTTTTGCTCATAATTTCCTGAGTGTGGTTTTATACCCTTGTGGTCTGCAATCTCCTCTGCAGTCATCCAGTCATCTACCACATCTTCGATGTCATTGGTATCCTCTGTGCCTTTTTTCAGGACAGCCTTTTCAGACACACTGGGGTCTAACAAGTATACGTCATAGAAGAATATTCTTTTCTCTTGGTGCCCCTTGCAGAGTTGATACTGCTCCTGCAGATCAGGGTGCTGTTTGAGGTGATAAGACATCCTCTTGACGGAGTCTGTAAAACCATTGTAACAGGTCAGAACAGGTCTCTGTCTCTTCAGTCTTTCGATCTTGTTCGTCGTCCAATCCAATAGTACTCTTGCTGCGCTTCCAGAGGAGTCACTGACATCAAGGCACAACCTGACTCCATGTGAAAGTTTCGATCCTTGTCGGAGTCTGTATTCCGTGGGCCTGGAGGCACCGACCCACCGGGCCGACCGGGACGGTTTCCTGTCCGAGGTACAACGCACCCTTCGAGCTGGGCAATGAGACCAAATTCGTGGGTTCGGTGATGGGCGCGGCGGAGAACGCTGCCAAGCTGGTGCAGATGGTGAACTGGGATGTTCAAGCCTCCTTTATCTACACAGGTTGGCAGAAATGCGCGGGTGAAAAAACTAATATGGCAACGGTTTGTGTTTGCATTTTTTGCTGCTTTTCTGTATATACTAGATCATTATTTGATTTCGCACTGGGATGTCAAGACACTGGACAGTACCCCAGGCAGCCTTATTCCGGGTGTCGACTTAATGATACATCCAACTTGGCCAACGCCAGATCGAACTTGCTTTGAGATCAATCAGCCTGTTCAACCCCAGCCTGTCCTCGCTGTGACACTCGATTCCACTCGATTCCAGGCCGCGATGGAGCCTTTGAGCCTGGCAATCCCTACAGTTTCCCCCTGGGTTGTCCCTACAACTGGACCTCCGACAACCCAGCGTGCCAGCCACAAGCGTCGCAAGTGTCAGAATTTGTAATGGATGCGATTGAAAGCCCTGAAGGCGCGGCTGAAGGGGCATGGCTCGGCGGTTGCCAGGAGTAGTTGTGGAGTCGCCCAGTTGGGGGTCCGCCGCGGGAGTTGCCTGCAGATGGGTTGGGAATGCAGAGGAGAGCGCTTGCGCTGTCGGTGCACCAAACCATGGTACCTATTAGGAGGTTGATATGCCTGCTCATTAACTCAATTCTGTTCACCAAGCAGAGTATAGAAATGGCATGGATGACACCTGAAGCTCCCAAACAACAATCTCCCCAAAAAGGTTTGTTAACCTCCACTTATATCTATATATATATTATTATGTTATAGTTCTTCTTTATCATTGTATTTCTTCTTCTTCTTTTTCTTCTTCTTCGCTTCTCCAATTTGGCCCCTCTATTGCACCGACATTATACCCCTCAGCCCCTCAGTCATCCGTCTTCCGGCACCCACGTCTTCTGGCTTCAGGCGTCTTTGTGAAGGGCGATGATGGTGGTAAGGCGGTGGCCTATATGAAAACCCATGGAGTAACTGGCTTTGCTGGTGTCCCGGCGCGAGGATTTCCTCGCGAGAAGAGGTTTTGGAGAGCGAGAGAGAGAGAGAGAGAGAGAGAGATGGGAAGAACTCCCGGAATGCCCACACAGGTCGAAATCCTTCAGGGTTTGTCAAGTCAGGTGTGTGTGTGTGTGTGTATGTGTGTGTGGTGCCCCATTTATCTCAATTTGGTGGGCACTTAGACTCAAAGAGCTCGTACGTGGCTCCTTGTGGCTCCAAAACTGATGCCGAGGGTTTGAGGTGAGAGAAGCTCGGCGCAGCCAAACTTTTGCTGAGGCAATGGCAGCAAAACACATTCGTACAAATACAACATGACCGTTCACTCATCTGCTAGAGGCTAGCATCAATACAATTCAGTGTGTTGGTTGGTTGGTTGGTTGGTTGGTTGGTTGGTTGGTTGGTTGGTTGGATTTGTTTTGATTACGACAGGATGGATTAGTTTTATGTTTGTTTTGTGCTATGTCGCCATGGTGACCACTAGTAACTATAACTCAATGGAACAACTGATTCTAAACTAAAGCATCAAAAGGATTGTTCCTAAGTAACAGTGGAAGGGTAATGCGTTGTGCTGCTCCACTCCATGTCTTCATTTTTGATTGTTGCTTTACGATGCTTTACGAGCAAATGACGGTTGGACGTTGGACCCTTTTAGCGCATTCATAGGATCGACGAGCAACATGTTTCTTCCCAACCATCTGAGGATGCACGCCTCGTGATGCCTGGCATTGCTGATCAATTTGTTCTGACCATTTTCATTGTGTCACCCAGTTTGGGACATCCCCCGATGAGCAACTGGTGAAACTTTCGGTGAAGCCAACACTGGTAGGCGGATAGCGGATGGAATTGGGGACGATTTAGGGCCATTTTTGGAATTCGGGGTTACCTTAGGAAACACCTTGTTGGCACTGGCACAGAGGGAGATCCGATTTCTTCACGAACCCACTTTCGCCCACGCTACGCAGTGCCGCAGGGCATGGTCCTTTACTGGCGATGTCGCGTTGTTCGATCAGGTTCACAAGTCTTTAAGTCCTGTTGATCTCATGAGGCGGAACCAGTCAGCACTCCGAAAATGGCCATGTAGCGCCATGCAGATTGTTTGACCGCCTTCACTTCCGTGGTCCTTGTGATGTTTTCTTTTTCACTTGAGGTATATAGTTAGATGATGTTATAAAATAGTTACTAGACAACTCACCCTATCGTGACCTTCGCTGCTGCATTGCATCACCCAGTGCAACGACAAACGCCACAATATGGAAAAGAATGGAACACACCATCCATGACACTGACAACACATAATGACAACACCAAACAGAATAGCACCGATGCCGATACCACAACAGCAGAGATTCAAGACGCAATAATTAACACAACACAACACACATATGGCAACACCAACAACTGACAAGAAAACACAGACAACTCATACTGCCGCGAACGCCAAAAGCACAGAACACCGCGTGACTGGCCTCTCCCCCTAGCGAGCGAGCGAAACCGCCAATCCACCGTCCAGGCCGTGAGGTGACAGTACAGATGGGACAAAAGATGGGACAAACACGCAAAAACAGAGGGCAAACACAGTCATATAAACAATACTACAAACAAAGGAAAACAACATCCACACAACCACAACACCTGACATACTTGACAACACACCAGGAATAGCCTGCACAACCACAACAAACAATGGCACACACACAGAGAGAGAATGACACTCCCAAACGTAAGCACAATACAAGACACCGTGGCCAAGTCTATTTTGGTCGCTGTTTGCATCCGGTGCATGTGCATGTTCGTGTGCCTCAACGTGGACGCCTCTCCCTCCAGGTCTCAGTCCACAAACCCGATGCGCTAAGGAGGACCCTGTATGGCAGACCACATGTGAAGGACCAGAAGTAGATTCCCTCCAGCATGCTTGTGGTCGCCATGTGTGATTTGCGCACTGGCCGTTTGTTTTCCAAGCGTTCCATCTTCGAGAGGCAACAGCGAACTGAGCGCCACTGAGCGCCACTTGCATCTCATGTTCCGATCAAAAAGCGCCACGACTGCCAAGGATGTCCTCATGTGGAACCTCAACGGTTCCTATTTGCCGCAGGGCACCTGGGACCAACGCTGCTCCCGGGCCAACCTGGGCGAGGTGACCAACCTTGGAGCGTGTGCCAATAACATGTGCTCCTTTGGGCCTAAAATGTCTGGCATGGGGAGCCTGGGGAGATGCTTATTTCGTCCGCCTTTTGCTTTTCCTGGTTTATGACCACGGCCTGTCTACATCACAATATGAAAGCTTTAGACAGTTGATAGCATGGCTCGGAAGACCACGTGTGTTGGCTAGTTTCCACTCCACCACAATTGTTCGATATACAGAGTAGGCTTCTGTTGTATAGTATCCTTCAAAGATCAAACATCAGAAACCCAAGGCCCAAGTTGTTGAGTTTGGGGGGTTGAAGAATGAGCTTGAAAAGACACCCGTTTGAGAAGTGAAGAAGACACGACCGAACTGTGTGAGAAAACACAGTGTGCCGTTTCCAAGATGGTTGACAATTCGCAAGGTTGTTTCAGGGACAAGACAAAGCAAGAAACCGCACAGAAAGGGGACACCGTTTTACCCAATTTTCCGTTTTCTGATACAAATGTGGCCCATGTGGCATGTCTTTTGTTCACTCCTGAGACCCAGGAGCGCCTTCAGCAATGGACGTCCAACGCCCATGGGGGCCCTTTGGCGCTTGTTCCGCACCGCTGCCGGCGCTTGTGTGGTGCAGCCCTCCCAGAACGGTGCAAACCAGCTGGCTGCGGCACAGGTCTATTCACTGGCCTGGAAGGTCAAAGGGAAGGACATCGTGAAGCTGCTGCTGGTGGGGGTTCAAAGAAGTGTAGGTTCTTGGAAGTTGAATGGTCTCATTCGGTCTCATTTCTGTTGAGAACATGAGGAACCAGGCGACAACCACCACCTTCTGGGCTGCTCACTCAATTTTACTTTGGATGGCACGGGGGTTCAATGAAGAGGCGGTAGATAGGGCAAAAGAGAAAACTTGGCGAAGACCTGAATTGGACATACAAGGCGACCGGGGTTGTTATTTGTTGGCAAGTCAGCACATATTATCAGATCAGATCAGATCAGATCACATTGTTCAATGCCAGCCAGCCTCCTACTTGCTCACCATTCACAAGCAAGAAACTACTCGAGTCTGTCTGTATAGCAAAACCAAAGCTACAAACCCTCAAAGAAGCCAAGACTTGACCTCAAAGAAGCCAAGTGTTTCCTGGCAACTTGACTTTGCAAGTCCGGTACGTGGTGTGGTTGCCATTTAAGGTCGGGGTGCCATCCTCTTGTCCCAGGGGCCTTCAATGCACTTTGCTGTCGGCTTAAGAAGTTCTCGCCCTTTTGGACGAGTCGGATTCCAACCGCCTGAGATCTCCGCCGGATATATGGTGACCACACGGTGAAGCTTTGCCCTTGATGACCACCATAATTTGTAATTAGAGACGGATATAGAGACTATGGGGGTGAGTTTGGGGTCTTATATATCGGTCTATGATTTAGGATGCAGAATTTAGGACAGTCAGTCTTTGGGAGGGTAGAAGCTGTTTTTGAAGCAATCACGCTGCTGAACCTCGATCGAAGAATGAAACATCGAGGCCATCAGAGCTTGTAGAAGGATGTTCCACGAATTCCTTTGGAGAGTCTATAAGAGATCTCCAAGATCCAGGCGCTCTGGTATCTCCAAATATCTCCAACATCCAGACTGCCACGAACTCCACTTCTTATGCCCCCAGCCCGCCTCCCCAGCCCCAGCCTGCTGATCGCGCAAATACTCTCGCTCGCAGTCGGTCCTTTTTGAGCGTGGAGCGTGGTGTCAGGTGAATCCCCAGTGGACGAGCAGCAGTCCCATCAATCCTTCGACCTTTTTCCCCCGCATGACCCTCTTGAATGCTGCCCGGCTGACGTCGGATCGGACGAGACCGACACGACCGAGACGAGACCAGAGACCGGGTTGAAGGTCGGGTCTGTTCGTGTTCGGGCACCGCTGGGTCCAAAAAGCTGCCGACGAGGGAACTGAAATGAAAGCAATATGGTGCTTGTGGCTATTTTCTGTTCGCGCGAACTCGCTCGTCTCATCTGTTGTTCTCAGCCGCATGGTGCTCGTGCTCGAACCACACAAGGGAGGCTGGCTGGCTCCTTGGGGGATGTTCCAGGCAAGGCATGGATTTAGACAGAACCTCAATTATATATATTTTTTTTTTTTGTGGAGAGGCATCTCGCAGGTTGAATACCGGTCAAAAGGCTAAGATGCGGTTTCATTAAACCACGAAGCGCATGGCGTGTCGCACATTTGTGCATCCACATTGGACGGTGTGTATTTTCTGGGTCATCCCCTTTTGGATGGACACTGAACAAAGTCACGGGCGACTGGGAGCGGTCGACGTTTTGTTTGCGGGCACACGAGCGGTCGATGGGAGTGGACATCGATGTGGGACGAACGAGTGCAGCGGTTGCAGTGGTTGCACCGAAAAGCAACTCTTCCTAAAAGGGAGCCCAAATTCTGAAGATCTGGCCGAAGTGGCTTGGAAAAATGATGAGTGTTTGGTACCCTATAGGACCTAGAACCCTAGGACTATTTTTTGTTGCTACTCTGGCGTTGACTATAGCCAGCTTGGCCAGAGTAGTGGAATGGTTCATTGTTTCATACGGCTCAAGGTCAATGCTTTCCCCAATTTACAAATACTGTGCCTTCCACTTGAGACATTTTCTTGTTTGAGTTTGGGTACCCCACTGATGTTGATGGAGCACCCAGGCAAGCAGCCAGCCTCGTAGATTTGACCCTTGCAATCCCTGAAATTGTGGCTTCGCAGACTGGTGATATCATGGATGCTGTGGTCAAAACTACATAGCAATTTGCATCTCTTGGGCATGAACTCACAAAACCTGTGGGCAAACACGCTTCAAGCCAATTCCTTGTTTAACGATTGATCGGGGATTGGTAGGTTTGATCGATCTCTCTCTCTACATATAATATACAGTATACATACGGTCCACGTCAGTCAAATGTTTTACAGGCTTAGGGAACTGGGTCACTGATCCCTTCTTTGCACATCTCAAAATCACATGCCTCGAAGATCTCTCAGTAAAGGACGCCCTCCCCCACATCCTGACACAGACACTGTAACAGCTTCGGAGGATTTTCATCCTCTTCAGAGCTGATCGCTCTCGGACGACGAGGGTGCCTCCTCTCGGATCCGTCGAGGTCAAGGAGTTGGTGCAATCGTACACAGGGGAGAACGCCATTGACGTGAGTGCCTCGGATCGGTGGACTTTCGCGTGCGCCCAAAAGCGTCCGCGACGACAAGCGTCGTGATCGTATACGTCTCGAAGGATGAGGAGTCAGTCCGGGCTGGCCCGCCGGCCCGGACTGAAAAAAAGGTACCGATGGCTGTGGTTCGGTAAGCCAAAGAAGTTTGGAATTCATTTTGAATGGGCCAATGAAGCTGCTTGGCCCCATGTCAAGCGGTGCTTGGTGAGATAGGAACTTCCAGGTCTCTGCTCGTTGACCATGTCACCATCTCCTTCCCGATCAAGGACCCTCCCACGATGAAGATCATTTTGAGATGATGATTCGCCCACGATGGAAGCTACTAGGGGCTGCTGGCCTTACTACTAGGAGCAAGGACGCTACTAGGGGCTCCTGGCATCGGTGCCACATGACGCCCAGCTACAGCCCGACTGGTCGAGTAGTAGATCCCAGTCCTCACATGACCTGCGTTGTAGGTCTATTGGAGGCTTGAAAGGACGGCAAACAGGTAGGGAATGTCAACTGGTCTTGTTTACTTGGGCTAAGCATGGCTGAGACTCGGCCATGTTCTTGACATTTCTATTGACCTTTCACCAGCTTTTTGGGACAGCAACACCCTTGCCTGCAAGACCCTTCGGCGGCGCTTGACACACTGAGGTGTTTGGAAAGGGTACACTTCTCAGCGTCGCTTGTTAGGGGCTTCACAATCTTTGGAAACGAATAATGGCGGCCTTACTCTCCAGCCCTTCCAGTCCTTGGTCTTCAACTTTCGCATGTCATGAGTGCTGCACACGGCTAAGCAGTGCTTTGGACGATGGCTGTTTCAACCAGGGTGCTGGATGGTGAGCAAGTGAACGTGGGTAAGCTATAGCCGTATCAATATACAGTATTTATAGATTCAGAATAATTCACGATTATTACGGTGTTTCTTCTTAGAGTAAAAAGGCCTGCAAGAGATGAGCTTGGACAGAAATGATACCCTCTACCTTAGATCCCCGGCCCATAGGCACAAATTACCCTTGCGTTCTTGTTTCCCTTCCAAAAAATAGTCATCTTGAAGTGGGTGGGTGTGTAGCCCACCCTCAATAAATCGATATTGAAAACAAGATTTGGGTCAACAACACTTTGGTGGTGCGAGACTAGTCACGTCCTCTCCAATTTGTGTTTGGGGCTGCGTTTGGTGCTTCTCCAAGGGATTTGTCGAGCAAGACTTAGCAGACTTTTTAGCAGGATAGTTTGAAAAGCACTTTACTATATTTTGCGGTCGTTGCCTGAGATGGCAGCATTCATGATCTCACTATATATAATCAACAAAATACTACTAGTACAAAGTAACAACATGACACAGTTGACCCCGTGTGACAGTGAGCTGGTTTAGTTTTCTAAAAGTGGATGTAACCATCCTTTATGTAATAGATATTTATATCAAATATATCCAGGGTGGCAGGTTGTCTAAGGCAGGGCGCATCAGAAATAGCCATCAGGGAGCCACAAGTCTTGGTAATTAGTTCCCTTCCAACTGTTATGCCTGGGAGTCGATTTCGGTTGAACGTAGCATAGTCACACACGCATGACATGTGTGGGTTTGTAATTTTGCGCAGGTGTGAAATGGCGTGAAGGTGGACTTGATTGAAGTGTGTATTTACCTTAGACTTTGACCCAGACCATCACAGATTAGTGCGGAGATGCATTAAATTGCATTAAGATCGCTGTGTATTAGAGTCATGTGGTGAAAGACAAACCAATCAATCCAAAGGAGAAGTCCATTTAGACCCAAACAAGAAGATGGTTGCTTCTTCCCCCAATGGCTCGCGAATAGCTCGACTCCGCCTGCCAGTCGTTGGTAGTCGAACAACAAACAAATTGTTCTCCAAGACATATACATATACGGATTCTGCTGCAAGTACCTGTGGAATTGTTTCGCGACCAAAGTACATGACAAACGAGTGATCCAGGATCGTCCAGTGGTACTATTGAAAGTTGAAGATGCTCCCCTTCATGAGGAAACCTACCTTCTGACTGCGCGTTCTACGTATCATCAAAACGGCTCGCGATATTGTTCATCGCACCACTCAACTGAATTGAAACGCACTCTACATATCATACAGTAGTTGTGTAATGTTGTGTATATGCAGATACGTGGATCAAGTTAGGGATATGAACTGCTCGAACATCCGGCATGTTCCTGGCCCAAGCCCAGTCTCTTGCCCTTTTGAACCTTTTGGGAAAAAAGTGGTTTGAAGATGCAGAAGAGTAAGAGTTTGTGAGTTACTTTTGTGCACCGAGCTGTCAACCATGTCTCGCGTTGCAAGCAACGTGGTGTCAGCAGTGTATGTCCGCTGCAAAAGTCAGTGAGGAAAAGCATAGTAGCCGGATGAGCCAGGCCCCTCGAGGTTGTCCTTTAAAGATCCTGGAAACTGTGGCTAATCCGAGCTTATCCTGCTGTTGGCTATGACTGGCAGCCTTTTTGGAGCGAGTAGACCTCCAACACAAGAGAAAGGATGAGAAAGGATCGGCTCTTGTGCCCCGCGGTTGGTCGTCGGCTCCACACGAGCAAGATGAGGGAGGCCGAAACTTGTGATTCACCCAAAAGTCCCTTGAACATGACGTGACTTTGCACTACATGTCGTTGATGATTTGATTAAGCAGTTATTCACCAAGATCCCATGAGCGGTAGGTCAACAGCTGCTAGTTTTGACCCGAATTTGGATCGGTGTCTTTCCCGGGCACCCAGTGGTTGAAATGATTCGAAATTGATATATATATATATTAATACTAATAATAACTATATATAGATATCATACTAGAACCCACGTCGTTATTGGGGTCCAGTACGAAAAGCAAACGTACCGATATACTCGAGTTCGGGTTCTCCCGTCGAGTACTGATCTCCCATCTCAATGTTGGTCACCTGCTGGAGGTTGGAAGAGTGAAGATGCTCAAGAAAAGAATACTTTGAAGAGCATCTTCGCTTTTGAGCATCTTTTCTTGAGCATACTTCTTTCTTCAAGAATACTTTTCAAGAAAAAAAACACACTTTGAAGGACCTACATGTGGTTTTGCGGAGGCTTTGTCTACTTTGCGTTGCCTCACTCGTTGGCTCAACCCTTTCGCAGTCGTATCAGGTCTGGTGTGGAGATTCGTCCGCTGCGCCTGTGGCGCTGCCCGCGGTGATGGGGACTCTCGCAGAATGTCTCCCCGTGTCCATTACATGGGAAGTTGTGTCTTTTGTATGAGAGCGCCGCCAGTAGTAGTAGTAGTAGTAGTAGTAGTAGTAGTAGTAGTAGTAGTAGTAGCAGTAAGAATAGAAGTAATATAGGAGCAGTGGGGTAGGCCAGTTTTTAAGTTTGTATTGGAACTGTTTGATCAAGGTGTGCTCGACAGAAGTGGACCTGTCATGTACAAATTCTTATTTGGATTCAATGTCCAATCACCACTGGTGAACCAAAGGACCTGTGATCACTGGGTGACTGGTTGCCTAGATGATGCATATGTGCAAAAATGCACATATTAGTACAGGTAAGAGGGCAGCCGACGTGAGTAAAGCGTGGGTTCGCGGTCCAGGAGGGCTCTCATGCAGTGGAGAGAAATGATTGATATGCAAGAAGCATTTGACAGGGAGATCATTGACTACCATCAATGGCAGCTGTTTTATATGACAGAAGTGTGTGTGTGTGTGTGTTTCATTGTCAATGTGTTGTAAGTCATCCCTGTTATACACTCCGGAGAAGGACACTACACTACCATGACTGTTCGCAAACAAAAACCTCACAAATCAAGCCTGGCTTAGCCAATCTCTACATGCGCCCACCACCCCACCCAGGGATGTACATGATTTGGATCATTTGGCCACCCGTGACAGTTCGTAGCTTCTTGCTACGTTGGTGGCAAGAACCAGGAGCTACGTTGGTCGCTTCCTTGTTCGGTTGGTAGCACCTCCAGGCGGCTTCGTCCACGGTCCTGCGATGTGTCCGGGGTCCGAAAAGAGGGGCGGGTCCGACGTCCAGAGCCGGGGCGTTGAGCCGGTTCCTTCCTTTTGGGTGGAAGATATCATTCGACCGGGGTTATATACAGCATTTTACCATATACCGTGCCATATATTGGGGTTGCAATATATACTGGATGCAACATACATACCGTCATTCGACCTTCCCTTTTGGACACTTTTTGATCGACCGCCCTGCTTGAAATCTCGATTCTGAAGTTGCGGACAGCAAGAGTGCCCAATTTGCCAATCCGCGTTGTTACCAGTGTCTAAAATACTTGCTCATGTGTTTGAAAAACGTACTGTATATGTAACAAAACACACCGTAGCAAACTCACATCCCAAAATGAGACGAGTTTATATAAACATATTCACATGTTTTGATCAATGCCCAAGATATTGTATAAGTTTTCACCTTAGGAAGAGCATGCCCCCAGACTTTAAGCTTGTCCTGGGTTGGTTCCAACAACCCGTAAGTTCTTGCATCGAGTTGTGCCCTCGATCCCACACCCCCGCAACTCATTCTTCTGAGATTTATATGTTCAACCTGTACTATCCTTTACTCGAGATTATTGATTGGTCCCACTGACTAATATGTTGAGTTGAAACCACCAACCAGTCACTAATCTCAATCTATTGTGTAACACAGAGAATTCCAGTAGCAAGTCGTAGTACTTGTTTGTTACTTCACAAGATCCTGTCAAAGTTGGGTAGGTCACGCACCAAACTTTCCCGAAGCCACCGGCTTCTTCAGCCCAACATGAACGATATGAACAAACTTTGGGACATGTCAACCTGTCAAGACCTATCACGTTTCGCATGCTGGTGCTTTCAGATATTTATTGTTCGACTTTTACTTGATTGAACATGAGGGAACCCATTTGACTGAGATTATTATGATTAAGTTTCATTGAAACCACCAACCAACTGATTTGACTTCCGTCGCACTTCCGCCTGTCGCACCTCCGCATGATGCGTCGCCCGAGGTGGCCATTTCGGATACCCATAACCTCCACCGACAGCTTGCGCTGCCGCCGGGTGCCCGGAACTGAGTGCGATCGAACGGGTCGGAAGAAACCCGAAAACAAGAACATGGTGACACATAACTTATATCAGAAACCCTTATCCGACCTGTTTCACCATAACCCGACCACAAGAACTGCTTCAACTTCTGCAGATTTATCATGGTGAAACCATGTGAAACGGTGAACCTTACAGACATTTGGGCAGATCGTGGTGTTTCACCCTGTTGTGCTTTTGTGAAGAGCGGTTACTGCTTCAACCATAAACCTTTCGAACCTGAAAGCCGAAGCCGAAGCCGGCCGAACTACCGTCTCCCGTTGCGGACTACCGTCTCCTGTATCGAGGATGTGCTCATCCACTGCGGTGACTTCACCAATGAGGGCACCCTGGAGGACGACCCGGGTCGTAGCCGTAGCCACACATTCCGACCCGCTTTCGAAGCCGTTTTCGAGACTCGGGATGGACCCAACGGTATCTGTACGGGTACGGTTGGCTTCAGCCATGAAGCCTCACATGTGCACGTGTTCACCCGAAGGATCCCTTGGGTGCTACGGTGTGAGGCGCTCCTGGCGGTGGAGCCAACATCATGTTCTCAACGACATCATGGTGAACAGCTACTGTAGGTAGTGATATCTGTCTTTGTAGATGTCTTTAGGTTTCTTAGTAACATCAAGCCTTTGCCATGTTCCTAAGTACCCCTGGCTGTGCATCAAACCTTTTGCTGGAGGAGTGTCGGGACTTCTGCGAGTGGGCAAAAGATCTACCCTTTGCTCACAAGTTGCTGGCTACTTGGTACACACAGTTCCAATTGGGATGCAACATGACGCAGACCTATTGTGGGGTTTACAAAAAACAAGATTGAATATGTTTTGCCTTGAAAGAGACTACAACAGTCTACATATGACTACCACACATGTACCAATACAATAGACCCTGGAAAGGGTGAAGCCCTTCCAGGATGCCTTTCTTGGTTGGAGCCACCTCAAGAGCAAACATGGTTTTGGTACGCCGGCTCCTCCGCGGTTAAGGGCTCATCGCAGGACTTGGTGTGGGTCATGTAGCGCATGCAGTGCACAGGATGTGCACGGTTCATCGCGGGGTCAGTGGGGGTTCTGGGGCTTATTTTTGACATCGTCCTGATATGTGTTGACATGTGACATAGACATGTTTTGAAGCCCCTAGGTCTGTGGGAATCACGACTTGCTGTGCGACGAAGAGTGGTACCTCCAGCACTGGCAGGAGCGACGGAGGAAGTGTTGAAGCATTGGGATTTTCGAGTTTTGTGATTGGTGGTCAAGAAGTCAAGAAGACCGCTATAAATCCCAAATCAGGCCTCAACTCACTTTGATCTTCAAAACCTTGGAGCTCCAATGTGCTGTTGTTCCTGTGGTGAAATTGTTCTCCACTTAGGAAGCAAGCATGGCACGCAAACGCCCTTTTGACTCTACTTCTGACTTAAGCTGTTCACCACCTGAACTGCCGAGCGCACGACAGTTGAAGGCCTTCCATCCAGACCTCGAGCCGCCGGCGCAGCTGCGAGCCTTGCTGGCCGCAGCGGGCTTGGAGGCCGTCCAGGGTTAGCGGCGGGAGGAGAGACGCGGGGTCTGAGGCTACGGGGAGATAGCTCTTTGGCATCCAAGAGGGGAGTTTGGGATGGCTTCGCAGTGAGAAAGATTCCCTCCACACCCATTGAGGAGGTGAAGGTCCTCGACCGGGGATTTCACTTGCGTGTTTCAGTTCGGGTTTGCGGAACAGATCGGAAAAAGTAATGCTAAAATGGCCGTGTTTCGGTGGTCTTTCTATGGAAAGACTGAAAAGACCGGAGCACCTTGAGTCAACTCCAACGGGTGAATTCACCAGTCAAATCCCAAATTACTGTAGGTCTTTGCAGTCTCTTGGTTCAGAGCGCCAGGGTAAGAGGATCCAGAAGAGACTCAACCAGAACAGACTTTTGACTTGATTCAGGTGTTTCTCCTCAGGACTTTGGCTAAGTTGACCAGACTGGGAGAACTCAGGGCTTTAGACTCTAGACCTCAGTTGGACCCTTGTGTTCCCAACTTCGGCCTTCCGGTGATACACGGACTTCGACAGGTGCGGACGAGTCTGACGACCGACGACGGATGTCTGGATTGAGGAGTAGATGGCGCAATCCTCCAGTTTGGTGGATTAATATGTTGTATATGGACCCCCATCTGGTGGAAGTCATCTTGGGGTGTGCTTATCAAAGCGACGTCTTTCTCACTCGGACACCGGTCGGCTGAGGTCTTGCATGGAGAGAAGATGATTGAAGGTGTGAAGTTCTATGGCAGTCCACTTCAACCACGACAGCCCAAAGAACGGCCCGGAATCGCTGTGCTGTGGGAGATGGACTGGGCTGTGGGTCGAAAAGAAGGATAGCGGGGGTGACAGGGGAACTGTAGAGGCAAATTCACGTTTCAGATTGCAGAGCAGTTTCTAAAGTATTTCAATAGTATTATATACAGTAGACGAATATATACAGATCTAATATATACGTACATAAGTTAACTACTGAACCACTGTCACAGGATTGATGCAAAAACCTGCCTTTGTTTTTGCAATGATGGGCGGAGTTTAGAGTGATATAGCGTTAGAACAAATTGCTCCAGCACCAACCTACCAACTCACTTGGCCACTTGGTATCCTTCCACACCGAGCACCGTCGAGGCCGATGGCCTTTGGAAGGAGGCCGTGGGATGACTTGGGCAATGAGCGAGGATTCCAGGCCTTTAAAAGCCCTTCGAGAGGTTTCCCTCTCACAGAGGTCTTGTCAGGGTTGATCAGGTGGGTGGTTGTGGCTTTTGAAGGTGGTTGCAACCTACAGATTGTGAAGAGTCTATGCAAAACCTACGGATTGGAAGGGGTGCGGGATTTCTAGATTCATGTACACTGAACGCTTTTCATCACCGATTCTTAGGTCACCAAGGGCAGGGCAGCTTGTCGCAGAGCAAGGAAGAGTCCAAGCATTTGTATTGGAACCTGGAGCTTAGCCTAACCACGGTTTCTCCATGTTTCTCCTGATGTTCGATCTGAATCATCTCTATGATTCTAGACCTTCCACATACGAACCTGAACCCCAAAACCCTATGACACGAAGTTCAATGTGACACGTCTCGTGTTCTTCGCTGCTTTCGCTCGGCAGGCGTGGAGCGGAGCTGAAGGAGGAGAGTCGAATTCCCCACTCAGAGAGTTGAGCATTGCCATCCCCCAAAACTCCCTGGAAACTGGGTATAGATAATATGGACGCTTCAATCATGTGGATTTCACATGACCTTGCAATCGTTGTACTCGGGTCGCATGAAACCTCATGCGCAACCGATAGTCATGTAGATGATCACAAACCAAACAAACTGAAGGGGTTTGGACAACAATGCAGTACTTCTGCCGATCCATTGGTTTTGATGTGAAAGAAAAGGAGTTGACTTCGTTCCATGCACAGGAGTGGGCGAAGATCCCAGCCGATGTGGATGTGCTGCTGACCCACACGCCACCGGCCACCATTTTGGATGTCTCGCCCTACACTGGAAAGCCAATAGGCCGCCACTACTAGAGCCGCCACTCTTGTGGCGGATTCCCTGTATCGATCGCGCATAGAGAAGCACACACGACCTGAGGCTCAGCATCACAGCAGTGGGAAATCTGCTGTGGGAAATCATTTGGGGTAAATGGTGCATTCAAGTCTACTATAATCTTTTACAAAACACTGGTCGGTGATAGATTCTCCGGCTATCCACATCGACTCTACTCTGCGAAAGAAGCCTGGAATGGTCAAAGTTTGGCTTTTTTTCACCAATATACTGTACCTATATCCTCGGGGTGCACTCTGTTTCCGTGTGACGACGTGCCACCATTTGCAACGTGGCCATTTTGGGGGTTGCTTTTCCGGTTGCAGAGGTTTATCTGGAAAGGTGTGTTTGATTGAAGTGGATAGAAATCTGGGCAATGGTTTGGGGTCGCTCGTTCCCTGCAGGCTGTGAAGAGCTGCTAAAGGCTCTAACCAAAAAGGCTCCTGCGGTGCATGTCTTTGGGCATGTGCACAACGGCACCTTGGCTGGCAAGTTTGCAGCAATTCAACTTAGTTAATAGGATGAACTGGCAAACCGCAGGTTGACTTCCTATGGACAAATGTCAGACAGAAGCAAGGAGAACTAGTCAGCGGCATGTTCGGATCTTTTGCGAGTGGGGAGTAGGATAAGAAACCCATTTGCCTGCGAGTAGTTTTCATTTTTCTCAAAACAAAACAATGGGCGATGGTTGCTGAAGGTCAAGGACCCTGTGCAGCATTTGTGCCACAATGTCAGGAGGCATTGATGTCAACAGCGGACTCAACAAGTATCACCTAGAACCTCAAGAAGTGTGTGAACGGATAAACACCATGTGGTTATGAATTGTTTAGGATCGTTGTTCAAAACTAGCCAGCAAGCGGTGGTCCATGCCACAGATTAAATATTGGTCCCCAAGTTTGCTTTCAGCCACCACCCAAACGATCAAGATAATTTGCATAGTAAGACGAGTTTTAAGAGGACTTCAACTTGCAGTGGGTCCCAAAATCTCTCTTCATAGTTGCGGTGCGGGGAGAGGTCTTCGGCTTACGTGGTCTATGAGAGTTCAGGCCACCTTGATTTCAGTGAAATTTCGCAGGATCAGGACAGAGACAGTGTAGACAATGACAGTAAACGTTTTGCATGTCAAAGGACCTGTAATGTTGGCTGGTATGTCACGTGATGTCATTTCCTCGTATAGCCAGATGTTTGTTTGCAGCCGTTCGATCATTTTATGAGGGAGGTCGATTTATGTTGGATGATTGTTTGTCTCCATAATTATCTTGTTTTGTTTGCGTTACATGTTGTGTATCATGTGTTGCTCCTGTGGCTTCTGTGTGTTTTTGGCTCTTGTGGCTTTTGGTTTCCGTGCCCTTTGGCTTCGTTGGCGTGTGCTCAAAACTCCAGAAAGAGCTACCTAGCAAAACCGAAAACAAAGAGGAAATCAAGAGACACTTGTACACTTACGCAGTACACATCTAAACAAATTTCCAAACTCCTGAAGTCCTGAAGGGCGTAGTTTCGCTTGTTTGGCACTTGTGGCCTTGGTTTGTGTGGTTTTGGGCTTTTGGTGGTTTCTGTGGCTTTGGATTTCGATGGCTTCTGTGGCTTTTAGCTTTTGGTGGCTTGCGTGGCTTTGTGTTGGTTTGCTTGATTGCTTGTTCTTGGTGGTTCTCTCGGATTTTGATGGCTAAGTTTTATAGCTTCTTCTGTTGGCTTTTGGTATAGCTCTTTGGCAAGATTGACATTTGGTGTTGGACTGATTTGGTTGCGGGTTGGTTTTTGATGGCTTGCTTTGATTCTCCTGGACTTTGGTGGTTTGGTTTTGATCACATCTTTTTGTGTTGGCAGCGTGCAGTTTTTTTCAAGCCAAGCCAAGTCAACCAAACCCCAAGAAACTCAACAAAATCACTGCCAAAATACAGACAAACTCGCCACCATGGAAAAACCTGCACTTTTCAGAGGCACCAGGTGAGCTACACTGCCTCAACCCCCGTAGGGAGCAAATGCAAAAATAGAAGTAAAAATCAAATATTGCAGCCGCTGCAGCCTTTTATGACAATCTACTTTACTCGTATGTTCAGTTGGCTCACCAGAACCTGACTATTACTTGTTCCATTAGGTAGGTCGGTAGGTCAACTGGCATCAAGCATCCTTTTTAAATCCTTTTTGAACATGTTTTTTAGCAAGCTTCATCAACAATATTTGATATGCTCCACCATTCACTTGCCAAGCCGAAGACCTTTAGGTTATGGAAGCCTTGCCAAGCCGAAGACCCTTTTCATCAATGCCTCCACCGCCGTCGAGCGCCGGGGGGCGCAGGGCACCATCAACCCACCGGTCTCTTTTTGGGTACAGAAGAAGGCAGATCGGAAAGGAAGCTCGGCAGGCATGCTCATCACAGCAGCCGCACCCTGATCTTGGAGGCGGCGCAGCTGGAACGGATGTCACTCGTTTTCTCAGGCGGGTGGCCAGTTGATGCCAGTTGTACATTTGTTTGTTTTAAGCAGAGGGTGGCCAGTAATGAATGTGTGGTGATGTAACTGTGTTTGCTCCTGTGTACGACGGTCCAACCAACAGTCCTAGCCGCCCTAGCCTTACCTGCCGCTGAATTAAAGCATCGCTCGGCTGCCCAAACATTGTAGGTCATGACGAGGTGATCATAATTATCCACATCATCTCTTCAAAGTACAATAATTCATGAGATGTCTATGAATCTATGAGGTTCTAATCTGAGCTGTTGATAAAACTACTTGGGACCCACATGGCCCACATCTATCCAATCAGCCCTCACATGCACTTGCTCTTGCGTGGGCAGGAGATTTGAATCTAGCACCTGCAGCGACTGAATCGTTCGGCGCACTGCTCCAAGGGCCTATGTTTGGAGACTCTGAAACCACAGATCCATTGCTTGCTTCCGCTGAAAGGAAGCAAAGCCCAAAGCAAATCAACTTCTCATTTCTTCCGCGCGGTGCTCTTCTATTTGCAGCTGCACTCCCATTGCAACAAGCGAGGATAGAGAGGTACAACAAGCGCTTGCTTTGCGTTGGTCCTGCAGCAGAACCATTCCTGGGCTGTACATGGTACCACCGGTGTCAATTTGGGCGACAGACTGAAATCTGAAAGGCTGAAAGCTGCAGCCGTAGGTCTTGCACTGCCTTTTCAGAACGTGGATCAACATGAAGCGCTTCGAGAAATGTGGGCAGAAAATGAGGAGCTGGAAAATCGCAATGAATAGCAGTAGGAATCGCTGGATGTGTAGATTCTGCACCTCCAGTCTCACAGCATGAGGAAAAGCAACGACGGCCGAACAATGCCGACGAAGCCGACAAAGTGACCGCTGTTCGGGTGCGCCACATATTGCATCATGCATATTACATATTGCTGCATGTCCCTGCATGTTGCCTGAAAGAATGCAAGCAACAGGCAATGTAACCAGGATGTGTAAAGTCCGGTCATGGACTTAGAGTGCTTGACTGTTGCTTGATTAGAGTCCATCCTTGGACAGTCATTGAAGATACAAGGCTGCAGGCTTGTTTGCTTTGGCAACATGAATATATATGAATATATTGCTATTATATATTGGCCAATGTGTTGCTGAGCTGGTCATGTGTTTCTTGTTTGCTTTATATGATGTGTCCTTCTTGACCTGGGTGCTCAAATCGCTTGTGCTTTGTGCTGTTTGGCTTTGTGGTAGAGTGTTCACATGTGTTCACTGGCATAGAGCTGAGGTGAGACACCTGGAGGTATATAACCTAATTATGAGGTTCAGATTCCAGATGTGATTGGGATTTTGCATCGAAGTGAAGGTTGTTAGAAGTGGTCAGGCTGGTCAGAGGATTCATCCGGTGTCCTTCACCACGTTTTAGTTGGTTTTCCTCACTAACTACCACTGTAGTCCCTTGGTCGGTCTGTCAATACGACCGACCCTTTTCGAAGGTATACCTGTGCACGTGGGTTTGTGGATCCAGATAAGGCAGACATGTTCACATCGATGTTCCAAAAGATACGTCGGAGCCTCAACGCAAAAGGAGCTCCGCATTGGCGGTGCTGCCGGCGGTTGTCGATCCTTTTTGGAAGGGGCAGAGATCCACACACAAGGGAATTGTTTGTGATTTACCTGGTAGCTGCATGAACCCTCATTGTTTGAACACGTGTTTTGCTCAAGTAGTCCGATAGCGAAGTGCTCTTTTGCAGGGGAAACCTAACCTCTGCTTGGAACACGCAAAGCATACTGTAATTACATACCAGTATGCCATTCATGCCGATTGCTCTACAGATTGTTTCAACCAAAACCCTAGTTGCCTTCAATGATTTGTTGATTTTACAGTATATAGCGTTGTAGACTCTGTGACAACGGAAATTAGCCAATCGGTTAGCACTACTGGTACATTGCTATACTTGAGAAAGGATGGGTGGTTTGTGTTTCTTTACACACAAAACTAGCAGCCATCACCAAATCCGCTCGCCACCACTGCTTGGGGCACCCAGTCTTTGACGCACTATCCCCCCAGAGTGCACAGGAAAAAAGCAGGTCAACTGAGTCAACTGAGTGCAGATTCGCACCGCATCGCGCCATCGAGATTGTTGCATCGCGCCATCCGGAGCCATGTTGCTTGGGTGCCTGATCGCCACGCTGGGCCTTGTCCTTGGATGTGAGGAGGAGTTTCTGTGACTCGCCAATGGCTCCCAGTGAAAAAGAGAGACGTGACCGGATCATATGATTTGTTTGTGCATATGTCCGACGTCGTTAAAACAAATGCACAAACATGCAAAACCAATTCGATATGTATTTATACTTCATGGCAGAACAAAAGGACACAGGGAGATGAAGAGGACACCGAAAGGACGAGGAAAGGGAGAAGCAAAGGAATCCATATCTATACATATACCAGGACCTTCAAAGTGACCCTTTGACATCCCAGGATGAGGTCACTTAGGTCTGTACAAGGTCACTTAGAGAGTCTAAAGAGGTCACTTTGAAGGTCCTGGTATACATATTGTACATACAGACAGAATGTTGTGATTGTTTGAACCGACACGACGCTGTAGAAAACTACTGATAGGGGTTTGAACCGACACGATTGATAGGCCTTTGCCGATAGATAGATATGTTTGTTGGGATTGTTGGGTACTGTACCAGTGAAGCTTGGTTCGAGTGAAGTTTGATGTCGAGAAAAGTGAGATATGTCGAGAAAGGGATATCGGACGCGGCCCAAGTCAAGATCTGGTAGGCTCCACACTCAACTGTCAAGTCATGGGAGTCATGCTCCAGTGGTAAAAAGCATATCTTAGAGAACACGGGACAACAGAACTTGCTTCGACTGAACACCACCGGCCCACGGTCAAACCGCATCATCCGAACCGTGATCCGCGGCCCTCAGGATGCAGACCCAACTGTTGCAGGTGAAGACGGAACTGCTACCGAAGGAGAGGGATGTCGAGAGTCACGGAGAGGGCTGTTGACCCCTCAATGGTGATTGATATATTTCAGATGTGACCCTTTCGAGAACCCCTGTGCTTGAGGGAAAGGGCTACATTGTGGCTTTGACTATCTTGAGGTAGATATCGATACAAAGAGCGAGCCCAAAAAATGCAGAAACATGTGTAGTTTAGTCAAATATTGGACAACAAATGCCCAGAACAAATCTTCGACAATGTAGGACAGTCCAAAGAAGAAGACTAAACACAGGGGAATACGTTTACATGCTTCTCTATCTACAAAGTTCGGATGACTACACTCCCGGAAAAAGAACGTAGGCACCGCAAAACTAAGACAGCTTTTCTACAATCTCTGGAAAATTACCTACTGTAGGTTGGGATCGATCATAGGTCTGGACGGGTTCTGTGATTTGTGGCTCCATCAAGCGGGTTCCTTCCGGATAAACCGTTGCTTGGCTCCGAAGCGCGGGGGTTCCCCGCAGGAGAGCTCCAATGTCACAGTGCATTTCTATCACAGGCACTTGGAACAATGGAGGACTGGGCCTGTGGACAAGATCGTGAAAGCCCTGGAGTGGGTGACTCGGCGTGTTTTTGCAAGCGATGAAACCTTAACATTCAGAGTAAATATACACGTAAATATGAGTCATACAGTGTATACGTTGAACTACATATTGATGCTTGTCAATTTCAATGTTTGTAGTTCTTTTCTTGTATATATAATACTCGATCATGCTGCGATGCTGGACATCATTTGGCTTTCATGGTATCTTCACCACCCAAACACGGGCCACCGTCTTTGGTTTGCTTGGTCTTCCCACCGTGAGCCAACTTCGAGGTGAAGAACTTCTCGGAGATACGTTTGGACATCCGTGACCGTCACTGGGTCTTGTGCTCTGAGGGGGACGGGTGGCTCCAAGCAATCCATGTTTCACCTGTGAGCAGCTGCATGATCCGTTTTGGCTTTGGTCCGGAAGCGGAGTTTGGAAGGTCGGTTGGTTGCTTTGCATGCTGCAAGAGCCCAAAACTCAACTAGTTTAAGGTCTTGGGGATGAAGATGGAACCCCCAACTCTCCGTTGGACCACTCCTCCTACTGCGTCGCCTACACGAATACTCTCCTCCACGAATTGCTCAGGAGTGACCTGATCAGTGGCTCACTTGCCAGCTGGGCGGGTCGGGCGGGTAGGGTTCCCAAGTCCAAGGGCTCCATGCCTGAATCCTGATCGCTTCCGGGCATCCAAGTCATGTGGGTGGGGATGCCATCCGAGAAAAAATTGACCTGTGGGCCACGTGGGACTCTGTTTGGCCTTCATCCGGACCCTTCGCCTTCCGTTGGTGCCGCGCTGATTTCTGCACATGTTTGTCTCCAACGGTCCAGGTGAGAACCACTCGGTGGATCTGGAACACATGGAAAGTGGAAAGACGTACACCATCCATGGGACGGAGCCATGGCAGGTTTTGTGGGATGGTTCGGAGCGGGACTGTGCCGTTGCGTGAATACGCTGCACATGTTGTGTGTGTGCTAGAGTCTAGAGGTACCTAACGTGTTCTGTGATGTTTTCATGGTTCATTTGTGCGTTATCCATTCATGAAACATGAACCCTTGGGGTCATACTACGAGCTTCCATGTGTGCTTTTGATCGGTTGATGCGCAGAACTGGAGTCTTTATGTCCGGACGGCTGCGGCAGAGACATGGTTACTTTTTTGTGTGGTTTTCATGTAAATCATTTGTTGTGACTTCTTTCTCTCCGATGACCTACTTCACACGGTCTGAAGACAGTATGAGAGCGCCTCCCCAGAAACACGTAGCATTTTACTTGCCTTTGATCCATTACAGGGTGATTCACTCATCAGCTCAAGGTTTGAGGATGGACACAATTTATTTTGACAGCGAAACTCAGCAGACTTCAACATCCTGTACTGAACCCTTGGCTGGCGCACCAATGTAATCCCGTTATCTCGTTCCACATGTCAGCTGCATCACATCAGAATCCTCAAATTCGACTCCAAAGAGAGAAAAGGCAGGTCTCCTTTGATTTCCACATGCATGGGGCTTCTTTAAGCCCACGCCGCTTGTGAACTCACCGTTTCTTTTTCACCCGTGAGTCGACCTGAGGATCCGCCGGGGGATGCTTGAGGCATGGAATGAACAGTCGCAGAAGCCAAAGGATCCCAGGCGACCAGGGAGATGATGCAAACAACGCCAGCTGGCACCCAGCTGACGTCAGCTGCACCTCGCCGCTGGAGACCGACCATGAAAAAAACGATGGCGCGCCTGGTGGGGGTTCACAAGTGACAATGAAGTGGAACAGTCGCGGGCTTCAGCAGGTGGAGGTCATGGATTTCGCTATGAAACATCTATGTTGGAATGGCCAGAGTGGCCGACTGAGAAGTGGTCAGGGGGATGATCGAAAGTTTACAGCCTTTCCTCCAAAAGTTTAATCCAACCATGCATTGTTTTTGCGTGGGGGCTTCCTGCATCCAATCAGACCAGCCAATATGTACATCGAAGACCATTCACGGCATGGTCCTGTTCAGGACAGGAGGAACAAGGGAGCATGTTTGACGTCCTCTCACGTCGCAAGATATGAAAGCTGACGAGTCGAAAGAGGGCAGTCGAAACGAGTCGAAGGACAGCTCTTGCAGTCGATGTTGAGCCACTCTACTTCGTGTTGCAACAGAGTTTACAAAGCAATCGGACAGAAATGGAGGGGACTTTCCAAGTGAATTCGTGTCGATTCGCCCTGCCACCCCCTAGGCCCTAGACCCGAGGTGCTCCTGGCTCCTTGTTCCTAGAGCATTCTCGCAGGGGTGCACTCGCGGATGTCAGCACTTCAGAGTCACACCAGATTCAATTGGATTATAAAATAGATCAAGCTTCATCTTTCCTCAGAGTGGTCAACTTTTTTGGGGGGGGCGGGGGACGATTGTTTCTGGTCAGCTGTATTTTTGCCCATTGGCATCTCAAGTTTCGCTTGGTCCGTGCGTGTATTTTGCTTCGGACTTCATTCATGGAAACCATGTGGCTCCAGGTCATGAGAACTGAAGTCCTTCGCTGAGACTCATAATGACACAGACGAGCCCTGGTGGACAGATCTCGTCTTTGCCTTCCACAAGTAATCATACTATATACATCTATATACTCATCAAGCCTCTGACAATTTCACCTCCAAGTTCACCTTCAGCCTCAAGCAACCCCCATGAGGACAAGCCAGTGTTTCAGTTTCCTGAAAAGACACTGTCAGGGATATCATGTCCTATCCAAGCCTTTGCAGTTTGACATAGTTTGATCATCTTTATAATCACTCATAATAGTCCTTTTACACAAACTGATTGACCATCCCTGACCCCCCATTTGCATCGAAAAAGCTTTCCAAGCACCTTCCATCATGTGCAGCACCTAGCTGCTCACTTCGAGGACGGCAGGATGTCTGGCAGGTCCTGCAGGCTGCAATGTTTGGTGAAACACAAGAAAGATATGAAAAGGTCAGAAAGACATGCACACAATATGGGTGTGTATAGGGGACACCCAACCAAGGGGTTGTTGTTTGTATGGCTTCTTCCAGGGGCTATCTTGGAGGTCGTCCTATGTAAATACACACTGAATATGCAGCCTCCAAATTTGCGGACTTACCAATGACCATCCCCAATATGGGGCAGGCGGGTCATGGGCATGACGTGTCAGGGACTCTTGCCGGTCTTGGGTCGGTTTTCACAAAATCAACTCAAAGTCCCAGAATTGGTTTAAGGATGTTTAAGGGAACATTTGCAGGAAACCTATCGTTTTAGGGGTTTTGAACATGGGTTTCCTCAAGTTTTATCCTTCCTTCAACATCCTGGGTCGACTCAACCGGCGCCCAGCATGGACCGAGAGGAACGATTTGGGGCACCCCACACGCGTCGCTTAACGCGTCGAATCGCGGAGCATTTGGGAAAGGCTGGAGCATTTGCCATGCAGATTCAGACAATGGACTCTGAAAACCAAAAATGGTCGCGGATTTGAGAATGCCGTGTAGCAGTTTGAGGAAAAGCAATGATACAGTACCTGGCGCGCGCACCAATTTCAGCATCCAGAACGCCACATGGAGCTCGAATGAAAAATTACTGATGCAGCTAGGGGCCCTAATACTCATGTTGATCCGCTTCAGTCCGTATTCCACCATGTTTCTAAGCACGTATTCTCAGTACAGTTCTCACCAGTGTTCGTCCCAACTAGGTGAAACCGTTGAGATGGAACCGCTCATGATGCGTTATCCGTTTGAGACATCGTTTTCAAGCACTCATATTGGAGTCGATGACAGTGACAAGATCTTAGCCTGGAACTCTTCAAGAAATTCAACTGCCCATTTCCGAAGAATGTGCACAGCACGCACTCTATGCTCAAAGATAAATTGATTCGTAGACCTTTCACTGGCACACGCACACAATGAGTGTTTCATATCGTTTCTGCTGACAACATCTTGAAGACACTGTTATTTTTTAAAAGGTTTTTTCATTGACATAGTTTGGTTTAAGCATGATGTGTTCTGTAATTGAAGGATGCTTTCTGTCCGAAGTCACTGGGGAACATTGTTTGCTGATGGATTGAAACGCCTGACGCATAAAACATATATTACAAAACTAGACTATATATACAACTAGTTTGCTCAGAAATGGATGCCCTAGTGACAGTGAAGTTGTTATTCTGTTGCGCACATTCCGACTACATTCAGACAGTTGTTTAATTACCTATATGCCTTTAAAACGGGTGGTCAACAGGTGCTTTGCCACGCTGCTTCTGAGTCAGGTAGAGCAAGGAGCTGCTTTTGGTATGTTGCTTGCGCACCCAGTATGCAGCACATGAGCAAGGCTAAAAGCCATGAACAATTTTGGATGACGGGATTCTTCATTTGGTTTAATTATTATACCGACAGTACAAGACCGTCCCCCAGAAAGTGAACCAGCCAGTACATGCACCGCACTTGATACATGATGAGTTGACTGCATGTGTGGAAGAGCATGAATCGGAGCTACTCACAGTAGGTTGGAGTGCACAGAGTGGTCCCTGAATTGCTGTCATGGCTAATTGTTTCAGCCGTCGTTGGCAGATATATTTTGCTTTGCTTAGCCAGTTGAAGACCTGCCCCACCAGAAACTTCACCACCTGTGCTGCTTTGGCAGGAGCTCAATGGATACTACCCCCTATGACTTGCCGCCCTCAGTATGTAGCCGCGAGGTCTGGCGGGGGTTGTCACCTCGCCTCAGGTGCGAGGTTTGGCTCAAGACGTCAGGTGTGAGGTGTGCGCATGGTTTTGGACGGAGTTCACGGAAAAAAATTGGAAACAGCATGTAGGCCATTGCTATGGCTGGATGGAGGCCATGCCTCTTAGGTATGTCCTTGCATTAAACGCTTTTGTAGGAAGGAAATCCCAAGTGTGAGTGAGCGGATGACTCTCAAGCCCTCCCAGCGGTGTCTATTGGTGTTTATACAGACGATTTTCGTCATCAAGAGACGCAATACCAACAAAGCCAATACCAAAGCCAACTTGCCATGTGTGGAACGATCGATGTTGGGTGTTTTGCTTATATGCTGGATACCATGCGCGAGCAAATACTTTCAGACACCGGCCAAGACTCGTGGTGTGGCCGAGGCTGCACGTGAAGTTAGAAGAGCTTTTGGACTTCTCCAATTCAACAGGAAAACAACCTTTGCCTTAACAAAATGGCAGTAGCACCCCCTCAAGCTGGGTATTGCTTACGCGTTTTGTGTTGACTTGTTGCACACGGATCATTGAGACCCCAAAAATCAGAGGCAAACAGAAGGGTAGTGCACAGAAAGGGTTTTGCAAAAACCTATTCTACTAACATCGTGGAAGGCATGGGACACTCGTAGAACCCAAGGCTAGTCGTGGACATTTCGTGAAATGGTGGGCCAGTAGGAGAACTGACTGCAACGAAATCCCAGAAACCTTCGCAGAACTTCGTGGAAGGTATTTTTGATGCACTAGCTTCGTATAAGCGATTTTTGCTGACCCTCTTTCTCCACACACCCTCCATTTAGCCTTCAAAAAAGACATCATACTTGTTCAAAGGCCGAACACACACGCAAACAACGACTGCGGTTGCACAAACTCAAACCCTACATATCAAGTGAAGTGAAGTGAAACCTAGTCAAAGAAGGCTGGACACCCACAAATGACCGCACCGCTGTATCGTAGTGGTAAAGTACTTCCCTTCCTGCTGGCAAGAGCTAGAGGGTTGTGGTCTTGTATGCAGAAGGAGTTGCAAGGGATGGACGTGTATGGCTATTCTTGCCATACAATCCCTGAACAGCCCATATTGGTTGTCAGCATGGGTACCAAATAGATTGATTGATTCTCCGCAGGTTGCTCAATGAGCAGATGTTCAGCAGTGTGAGAGTTTGCGACATTTGGAGAGTGCTAGAAAGTTGGAGAGGCTTTCTAGCATGTTCTTGGCTAAGACCACAGGCCACAGGAAAGACATGGAAAGACCATGCGTTTTTGAAACTAGTTCCATATGCCCATATGCCTTTCGCTTTGGTTCTTCTCCGCCGACTCGCTGACCGTCTTCCGTCAGGCTACGCAGGTGCGGTTCATGTACTTCTCCGCAGAGGTGGGAAACAGGTTTAAAGTTTAAACAGAGCCACCAGAAATGCTGTCAGGCGGCGGGCAGAAACAATATGTTTGCTCTGTGCCAGGTGGATGTCCGATTGCCCTACTCCATCCAGGTGTTTTATCCACGTTGCGGATGTTGTATATTCCAAGGTCAATGTTTATTCTATTTACGAGGACTAAGAATGTACACGCAATACAGACCAGGGCTGCCCGGCTGCCTAATGATATCTCACTACAACTGGACTGAGGACTCCACTATTTACTGCACAGAATCCATTCAAAATTATTGATTTGCATTGGGGTGGTCACTTCATAGTCCATGCAATTCCTTGCTTAGTGGTTCATGTGTGGAGCTAGCCTCTGAAGCTTTGGCGTCCATCCTTCGTTACTCCTCAATTTGGATCATTTCCTTTGCTCATGGCCATGCTTTGAAGAGTCTAGACTAGGTGAGCCAGAAAAAAAAGGTGGATTGATGTTCAGAATTCCACGCACCGCCGCAGCTATTTCTGATGTTTTCTGTCTTTGTGGAATGTGTTATTTAGTTGGGGAACGACCCTCCAGATGACGTCCAAAACGACATTGGAACGACCTCCTTAACTACGTACATCATGTATTTGCTGCTGCTGCTCTTGCTCCTCTTGCTCCTCCTGCTCCTGCTGTTGCTCCTGCTCCTCCTGCTGCTCCTGCTCCTTCTGCTGCTCCTGCTCCTCCTGCTCCTCCTGCTGCTCCTGCTG